TATATATATCAAATATCCGCTCGCGGGTCCGACCGGCCGTTACCCCACTCTGACAAGTCGTTAGTCACGTGAAGGTCCCACCACGACTTGTGTTAATCTGGTGGGGATTGGGGCAACAAAAGCCATCGACATTCCCCAAAACCGGCAGTTCCTAGCCAGAACTCGACTCCGACTAGAAGTTCCTAGCCAGAACTCGATACCGTCCAGAAGTCCACCAGCAGCCAATAGTCTCCACCGAAGCCAGCCAAGAATAGCCAGTGAACCCAGTAAGAAATATTTTCCTTTTATTATTATCCGTTCCGACCGAGTACAAGTCCGAAAAGATTTGTACACTTTAAGTGTGGAATTACTGTGAGCCCGAGAAGAATATTCTTGGTAACCCGCACACCAATTCCACCGTCCTGCTCAACCCACACGACAGAGCAATCGTAGGATTCGGCGTGTATACCCAATCTTGGCGAAGCCTTCGTGTTTACCACAGCGTTGCCCGGTGTCCCGCACCAGGCTGTACGCTGAGTAATAGGGGATATGCGAACTTAGACCTAGAGGTTAGGCGTGTATACCCAATCTCCGGGTCGTTCCATATAGTATACGTACGTTTCTCCCTGATCGGCGTGTATACCCATTAGACCGGGAAGCGTTGTATACTGAGAGTCCGACAACATTGGTCACCAGGACGTATAAAACTTAGAGAACAGACAAAACATTTACGAATATTTTATTTCTTTATCAGTACCGTCTAAAATCACCTTTTTACTTAAAACCGTTTATTCTTGCAGAATAACAAACGTTTTATTTTAATTCCGTCCATTAAACATATATTTCTTTTAAATCTGTTCAAAGGTGATAAATAAAATTGTAAAAACCGAAATCTACAATTTTAGTGCTGTCTCTAACACCGTTATTGTAAATAGTTATTGTTTAGTTAGCTTATAAATATTTCCAGTCGTTTCGTAGAAATTAGCATTGACACGATTTGTATTTGTATAAAGTTTTAATATTTTCCTCGTGAATAAATCCAGTAAAATTAATAGGTGTATTTCTTTCAAAACTGAAGTAAACTGATAAAATTCCGAACCAGCAAAAACGCTGATACCGTTTTGTAGGAAAATAAAACTACACTGAGAAAACTACTCTCTGCCGAATTCTCCGAAAAGAAATACAGTTGACCCCTGGATTTACCGAGGGTAAGGGTTACGTGGAGTTTCCCTCACGTAAAATATAGGGAAACTGGCGCCCAAGACTAACCGAGTATAGCAACCGGAGTTCGTCCCTGTGACGTTACTCATTCCCCCTGGCTGCCGACCACCGCCGCCGATACAGTCCGTTAGTCGAAGGAGCGTCACGAAAATCAGCGTCTGAATAGGGACGCCCGTGACGTATAAAAAACAATAAATAAATTATTAACTGATTTTGTACTCGCTTCGGCGGTACATATACTAAAATTGGAACGATACAGAGAAGATTAGCATGGCCCCTGCGCAAGGATGACACGCAAAATCGTGAAGCGTTCCACATTTTTTTATTGAAGCGCTAGAAGAAGTAGATCAACATGCGAACAACATACATGCGGAAAAAATCCTACCATGTTTCGAAATAGAACACGTATATCAGATAACACCAACTGAAGTTGCTAACATCAACAACGACAGAGCGCAAATAAACAGCAACAAAGAATTTCTAAGTATATTTGGACCAAAGTTCGAACAGCATACCTGGATCTTCACCGATGGTTCTCTCGACAAAAATCAAGGAAACGTGGGACTAGGAGTGTTCATCCCAAGCATCAACCACAAATTCTCAGCAAGACTCCCTCAACTCACACAAATATGCACTGCAGAAGTTATAGCGATAAACAAAGCCATTACCATATGCCTAGAGAGGAACCTGGACAAGTCAGTAATATTTTCGGACTCAAAGTCAGCTCTACAAAAAATCTCGAGCACGGAAATCAACAAAGATAGGGACCACATTTCCCTGAAAACAAAAATAATGTTGTTAAAAGCAGAGGCAAACGGTTGCGAAATCAAATTGGCATGGATTCCGGGTCACTCCAACATCCATGGGAACCTAGTGGCAGACACACTGGCAAACATTGGAAGAAATTCTGAAAATCAAGTAGAAGTAGAACTAGACAAAAATGATGTCCTACCAACAATTAAGCAGCAAATACAGGCTAAATGGAAACAAGAATGGAAATTGAGTACAAATTCACGAGGTTTCAGCTATGCACAGATAATAAAGGAGTTCCCAAGTTCCCCATGGTTCACCTTGTTTCCATATAAGGACAGAAGGCATCTAACAACGATAATTAGAATGAGAACAGGTCATTGTTTAACCAACAAGCATCTGCACAGAATAGGAATTCTGACTCACCCGTATTGTGAATGCGGACAGGTGGGTGACTTAAATCACATCATATTGGAATGTCCACTAAATAAGAATCCTAACTTTGACTTATATCAGGAATTATCCAAAGCAGGCATGCAAAATCCCTTTTCGATTACCACTTTGATAGAAAAACTTAATTATCAAACGATCTCCATACTGTTAAGGTTCTTAAATCTTTGCCGTGTCAAATTGTAATTCAGTTGTAATTTTTTCTTTCAGAAAAAACCTTTGTCCCCATCTCTTTTTAACCTGGGTGCTTCTCTCCAATCCGAGGCAACGTTTCGGTGTGTGTTAAGGCTCGGCTGTTGCCCCCGAGCGAGAAAAGTCTATCCTGTGTTGTGTTGTTTACTAACCCCATTTGCACTCCCGCTCAAGATATAGGAATCAATCGAGGGAATATGAGTAACCAATCTCAGATGCACTTCACGGTGCATTCCCTTGAATAATAAAAAACAAGTACATAAGAAGCTGGCTAAATTCCCTCTGGGTGAAGGCCAAAAAAAGAAGAAGAAGAAGAAGATTAACTGATTTTGCCGTTTAGAGTTCAGTCCGAGGAATAAAAGTTGTATGAAAGGAGAGAAGTTTGGCGGCGACCTCTCCGAAAATTAGTTACAGGGGTGCACACACCATAGTTAGAAATAATAGAAAAATCACCACCGACCGACCTAGAGAGAACCGAGAGAAAAGAGAAAGTGCCTCACAGTATGGGGTAACATAATCTCGTAATTCTGACAGTTTTGGGGCGTCGCCGTCGGACTACTCGTACGCTGCATGATTTTGTCAGACCACAGTTTGTTTCACAAATTACTTAAGCAGTTTACGCAAAATGGAACTTGCATGTATAAGGATACATAATGACACCATTTTGACATTTTGGGAATGGTGGACAAATACTTTTTTAATTGTTTTGTCGTAAAAACTAATCATTCCGATAAAAAAGAAAATTGCATGTATTGCAATGTAGCATAGCATCAGAACGACAATTCCCGAAATCGCAAGTTCGAAAACGCGGCGACGCCGAAAATTTTTTAAGAGGAAAATTTTGTTGGACTCGTTATAAAGAAGGCACTTGCAAAGTTTGGCACGTTTCGTTTCAGTTTACGTTTTTCGTTTAACGGCACTAATAAAATAAATTAAACAATAAAGACGATTCGTGCAAAATATTTGAAAATCTTACTAAACGGACTCGTTATACTCGCAAAGTTTGGCACTTTCATGTACCACTAAAACGCAATGAGTGATGTACTGGAGACTATTACAATTGGTAATAAAAAAATATGTGTAATTCGTGCAGTTGTCTATTGTCCACTTGAGCCGATGAGCTCACGCACTTTGTGCGTTCAACTACGCTCTCGTGGGCAACAGACAACTTACCGCACTTATTGTACAGTACACTATTAATTCAGTGCATTATCAACGTCGCAGAGTATAGTAAACCCAAAAGAATCAAATTTCCAAGTTTGACAAGCGTTAATGCGATACAGAACAGGAATCTAGAGTTATTCTGTCGGCTGCACTTTGTTACTAAATGTGACGTCATTGCAAACTTATCGTAAATAGACCATATATTTATTTTCAGAACATATATGTCATAGCCAAACAAATCGTTATACAAAATTATACATACGAGGGTGGTCTGAAAAGTTTCCGACCTAACAGAGATACAAAATTTTTTCAGATTTTTTTTTTATTTTTCAACATAGTCTCCTCTACACACTTCTCCCAGCGATGCTCCCATCTCTGTAACCCGTCCAAATAGTACTCGGCGTTTTTCTCTGCAAAATAATTGCTCACGAAGGTGATTGCCTCTTCATTTGACGAAAATCTCTGTCCTCCGAGCGCAATTTTTAGATGAGGGAACAAAAAGAAGTCGCTTGGGGCTAGATCTGGTGAGTAAGGCGGATGGTCAAGCAGTTCAAACCGTAATTCGTGGATTTTCGCCATGGCAACCGCTGAGGTGTGAGACGGTGCGTTGTCTTGGTGAAACAGGATTTTCTTTTTCTGCAAATGTGGCCGTTTTTCCGCAAGTTCTGCCTTCAGCTTGTCAAGTAATGATGCGTAGTATGCTCCTGTAATGGTTTTTCCTTTTTGAAGATAATCGATTAAAATAACTCCATGACTATCCCAAAAAACAGTCGCCATCACTTTCCCAGCCGAAAAAACAGTTTTTGCTTTTTTTGGAGCCGGTTCCCCCTTTGCAGTCCACTGTTTGGACTGTATTTTTGTTTCGGGCGTATAATGGTGTATCCAAGTTTCATCTACAGTAATTAATCGGCGCCAAAACTCGGATTTATTGCGCCTAAACTGCGCCAACAGAGCGTTGGAAATGTTCATTCGAACACGTTTTTGGTCTAACGTGAGCAAACGCGGCACCCAACGCGCGGACAGCTTTCTCATGTTTAAATGTTGATTTAATATGTGACAAACACGTTCTTTTGACATGTTCATAACCTCTGCTATCTCTCTCACTTTAATTCGGCGGTCGTCTAGCACCATTTGGTGAACTTTGGCGATGTTTTCGTCGGTAGTTGCAGTTTTTGGACGTCCCGAACGTTCATCGTCTCCCAAGCTCTTACGGCCACGTTTAAATTCAGCTGCCCAAAATTTCACTGTGGTAAATGATGGTGCAGAGTCCCCATACACAGAATCCAACTCATCTTTGATTTGCGTAGGCGTATTGCCTTTCAAAAACAAATATTTAATGACAGCTCGATACTCGATTTTGTCCATTTTCATAAAAACACTCACATCAACTCACTCAAACGACTGTTACATAACAACTGCGCGTCCAAAATGGCTGAAACTTTGGTGAGTAACTGTCAACAGATGAACAACGAAATTCACTAGCTTTTATTTACGAGTGCTGCCATCTTCATGTTGAGGTCGGAAACTTTTCAGACCACCCTCGTATGTGCAGTAAGACTAACAGCAATTAAGAGAATTGTCCTCAAACTCATTTAAAAACTATAAGCTGCTTTTATTAATATCCTGCAAGTATTAAAATAAAAATGCTGAACACACTTGTCACGCTTTATAAATTATTGTAGAAAACTCTGGTGGGTAATTTCCTTTGTAATCTCATGCAAGAGGAATAGGAAACTGTCTCTCTAAGCCTTTCTCTGAAAAAATGCTGAATGGTAACGCTTTTTTATATGTATTCATTATAACAGGTCGTTTGTTCTAAAACTGTGGCACCGACGACACACTACGCCTGCGATGAATATATTTTTTGTTCCGGATCGTACTACTGAGTTTCCACAATATAACAGATTTTTATTTATTCCTGTAACTAATATACGTTTTAACAGAAAAAAACTGTTGATGTTTGTTTTCCAATTACTAATTAAATTAATGTATTGCTACTTGAAGGTACGTATATGAATATTCCTTGACACCAAATATCTATGTAAGTACGTATACGTAAATAACACAGAAATTATTGTCAATTTTTAAATTATGATACAGTGTGAAACCACAGACAATATAGCTTCGCCCCAGACCTCTACTAGAGTAGGGCAGTAGTTTTAAATTTCCGAATTGCCGGCAGAGTACGCCACCAGCAGAATTTTAGGAAGAATCAAATGAAGCGACCCGCATTCCTACGTGTATCCTAGCAACATATAAACAACACTTTGGCAATGTTGCCAGGCGTACTTACGGATTTATTTTGTACACTTTTTTTATAAATATCTGTTTTTTGAGTTACTGTATTTACTTCAATGTCTGTATCTATGTAGTTTCATATGATATTCTGCAGTGGTGGCACAGTTAAGTTATTTAATCATAATTTCGTTAATTAGCTACAATTTTCATTTTTTGGTATTAATATACTGCAGTAAATATATTTAGTAAACAAAATTTGTAGTGATACTTTAAATAACTTGTAATATAATTTTTTTAATATTTGATGTTGATGATAAATTTATTTAGTATACAAGGTGGGTTATTAGTACGTCGCGGAATGTAGTTACAGGTTTTTTGTATTTTGACATCCACTTATAAGTTTAACAATTAAATATAGAAAAAAAACTTTAAATACATATGTACGACTTTTCCTTTATTTCTTTTGACATCAAAATTTGCTGGCATAAAATATATGTTTAAAGTAATTAAATCATTTAAAAAATTAAAATTCATCCTTATTAAAATAACAAACAACGATTTTTATAACTAACCTTTACAACAACATAAGGAGAATACCTAAACACTAAATAACAGTAAAATACCTACCATTTTTAAAAATTTTTCAACATGCAAGTAATTATGATGATAGAGTTGAAAATATGCTTTAATTTACTATTTATTGATTTAAAAACAAATTCAGAATTATCAAACATTTCGTCCTGTATTTTTTCATTCAATACTTCTAAATTTTGAGGTCCTTAATAAGTTGAAGTGTCCTCACAAAAATATGTCTAAAGGACTGAGATCGGGGCTGTTTTCTGGCCACCTAAGGTTTCTTATAATATTTTTTACAGTGTTCGTTGATGGGATTCGTCCTCCAAAATAAATTTGCCGATATTGCTGAAGAACTTTTGCACATTGTTATTTGAATAATACAGTTTAATTATGTTTTATTTCTCATCAGAATAACCCAATTTAATTTTTTTAAATTAAAAAGGGTTATTCTGATGATGATAACTCCCATGTATTTTCAAAGGAAAGTTCGTTTCTGTCATTTTTGTCGCATTGTGTGTGAGAGAGATAGAGTTATAGTGTGCGATAGAGATAGAGTGACTTCATACTCATAGATGGCTTTTCGTGTGGCCTTTTTAGCCTTCTTCAGCGAGCTATGACGTCACAACGTATGAGAAAAAAAACGGTTTTTGCTTGTAACTCGGAAATGGCTGGAAATATAAACAAATCTCTTGGTTCTGAGTAGAGCACTCGGTGGGTGAGGGCGGGGTGTCACAATATATGAAAGAAAAAAAAACAGTATTTGCTTGTACTCGAAATATCAAAAAATCTCCCATGGCGATCGAGTGAAATAGTCCGAAAAAAACAAAATCGGGACCAATGGTGTGTGACATCATAGAATAAAAAAGTGTTTATACCTCGGAAATGGTGCGCTGAATCGAAAAAATAATTGAAAAAATCTGCCCACACCTCTGATTCTTATTGTCCCTTCTGCGTTGAATGCAAAAGATCAGAAGTCCGTATGTTGAAAATAAATTTCGGAAACAAGAGGTGTGTAAGGAGATACAGCAAAAAAGGTCTTATAACTCGGAAACGGTGAGTTGAAGAGAAAAAATAATTAAAAAAATTTCCCCCACACCCCCGGTTCCGATTGTCCGATCTGAGTTGAATGCAAAAGTTCCGAAGTCCGTACCTATATCGAAAAACAAAAAAGTTAGTCAATAATTGCAACACCAGTAGCGAACGCATTATCTTATCTCTCATTGACTGATGATTTGTTGTTTTTTTTTAAATAAATTTCGTATCAACCACCCCAACAGG